CCCCAACCACACCACGAAAGTGGCTCTACAGCGTGCCGATGATCAGCACTGTACTGTCAAAATTGAAATCGAGACTAAACATAGATAGGTGGTAGTTGCAGAACTTTATTCAGAAGATGACAAGCTAAGGCATAGAGTATACACTTTCACTCTGAGCGTCGGCCACGGACCTGTTTGTCTGAATATTATTTAGAAATACTCGTAATGTCGTAACCAATACATTGTACTAAAATACGACGTGTGGTTTAACACCTTCACTGACCACGTGTGAAGCAGTGTCAAGGCATGACACGTGTCCACGTATCATAATGATTCAACCCAGTCTCGTTCGTAACACCGCATCGCTCTTCAGTTGCGTGATTATAAGTGGTAATCTCCCGTTTTGAGAGGCGAAAGATAAAATTGAACGATCAAATTGTTACTCTCAATGAAACTCTGCCTTGTATTGATTGTAAAACATATATACAAAGTGGCTTCCCCTTTTACTTACTTTAAAGGGCGGTGGTCGTCGCGCAGCGCGTGTTCGAATTTTATGTAAAACAATGTATTTCACACGCGTTGCTAATGAGTCTCATATCGAACACGACGTGGTGCGACGACTACTGCCCTTTAAACCAAATACCAGACCAAGCTATCATAGTCGTTAAAGTAAATGTAGCTGAATCACTGTCCACCACAGTAAAAGTTGTGACACAGTCGAAAAACCACTATTTACATGTAAGTCTAGTGCAATTTCAAGACAAATACGTTTGTGAAACGCTATTCTGATAATAAAGAGAATTACATTCGATATAATCTCGTGTTCTGTTAGTGTAGTCTCTTGTCATATCAGGGTTAATGACAGAATTACATCGGAGATTAGAGCGAAAAATCCCAGATCTCAAATATTTGAATGGATGATAAGATAGTATTTACTGTATTTTCTGATATATCATGATGGACATTCTCGTAAAGTGGACAGTCATTTTTGATGTAAGTGTACACAGGTACACAGTTTGCTAAATCCGCATATTTACTAGTACGCTGATTATAATCATGAACTGCCAGTGACAACGAAATTCATGACGCGAAGCGTGGGTAGCGTTGTTATAATTTGACTCAAGTTCCGGACTATTTTGTTCTGTGCGCATTCATGTTTAGATTTCACGCTATCACACACTTGCGTGGAGAGTACCACGTGATGTGAGTCAATCAGTATATAGCACATATGACTGATGAGGGCGTCGTACTCCTCGGCAACTATTAGTAACAAACCTGGGGCAGTAATCACGGACTAATACCAACAATGAAATGTAAGATTGTCTAGACTAGTGAGAAAAGACCGTTTATACAACGCACACTCATCTTGGAGACAGCGAATAGCCTGCTTCCTAGCGTGTTGATGTCGTTGCCTGCTTCTTTTGTAGCAGTGGTGGCAGCACATGGGGACAGAGGGGGCATCGTCCCTCCAAAATCAAGCTTAAACCCTTTGTGTCAGCAAAATTTGTACCTCAAAATGCTGGAAATAGCGTTTTAGAGGGTGTAGATTAGACCACCTAATAATGTCGCGCCTTCGGCGAAACGTTGGGGAGCAGATCCCGCCCCAATGGAAAATGTCGTGCCGCCGCCTCTGTGTAGTGACCCGGATGTCATGCCAATGACATTACCCTATTAAAGGAACCAACTGTAACTAGAATAATATTATGAGGTTAATACGAGGATACCGTAAAGTATTCTCTTAATAACCTTATTATTATACAACTTTCCCTCCCAAGGATACATGATGAAATCCAAAAAAAAATAGAACACATTTAGTGAACTTGTTTGTGTTGGGGTCAGGTCAAAGCCTGGGGCAGCCATGTTTGTTGTTATCATTATAGGACGCTTACCCGAGTAATCATTCCATATTTGGAACTCGCATTTCCTAATATAGTATATGCAAATATCCAGTGCAATACCGCAAAATTACGACACGCTGTAACTATGGCGTTCATGGTGACAGATGTATATGTGAATAACATAACGATTTTCTTCATTTGCAGTGGTAACGCCATGCGCTAGTCACCCTTGTTTAAATGGGGGCGTATGTCAAGAACTTGGAAACAATATGTATAAATGTTACTGTCCGAATGGTTGGACTGGCAATTTGTGCGAAAGGACTCGAGGTATAGTACTTTTAATTTCATGATCATGCTGTCTGGTTTTGTATTTATCCATAGAGGGCGTTTTAAGTATTGGTTCAAAGCGCCCTCACATGATTAATAACGAAGAATGTGTACTTTTTCATTCCCGTATTTGTGAGTCTTTATATTATTGTAAAATCCTTTTTTTTAAATCTTTTTCAGATCCATGTGCGAAGAATCCTTGTCTGAATGGGGGACAGTGCGTCACTTCAAGCGCTGCAAGTTTCTTCTGTCTATGTGTGAATGATTACAAGGGAAGTCACTGTGAGACCCCTGCCTATGGTAAGAAAAGAGTAACACATACAACAATGTGAGCTTAATGTCAGCTGGACTTATTATTGTCGCATGAACCCCCTATACCAAGTATTACTTAAGGAGGTTCATTATTATGAGATTTTATTAGAATACAGAAAACGAAAACAACAAATTTGGCAAAATGTTAGCACTCGCACTTACGTATGACACATTTAGGAATTATGTTCAATGTTCATAACTGTCGCTTGGCTAAACAATATATTTTAACAGTAAATTCCCTGGCACATGTAGTCGGTACCATGCAATGTACTCGAACTTTCTTGAAACTACAATTTCTGAGGGTAATATGTGTAAATTACTGAATAGCGTCAGGATAGTGTATATACTACTGCTTTCATTTGCTGATCGTTTATTTAAATTTTTTCTGTTTTGCTAAATTAGCTATGTACTGGTATATAAATAGCGAAAGACACATTAGCTAAATTAGCCAAAATGATATGTCTTACATATACTAAACACAGTGACTGCGACACAAATACAAGCTCCGAGCTCTTTCGATTGACTGTACATACACTTATATCATGTGGCGTACTGTGCTCCAAATGCTCAATACATATCATATCCGATTGCGTTTTATTGCAGTGAGTCGATGCGATGGCAAGCCGTGTCAGAATGGCGGCAGTTGTTATGATCTTGGCAACAAACGATATCACTGCCAGTGTCCGGAAGGTGTTTATGGGGAAAACTGTGACATCAAACCACGTAAGCCAAAATTCATGAACACATGTATAAACACTTATATGAACACTTGTGTAAGAATTTTAAATGACTTCATTACTCGGAGTCCCGCACAATCGTCCATACCGTATTCTTCCAATTTGACGCGACTTGAGCCTTTCCATCGTAAACCGATTACACAGTTTTCTGTAAAGACAACGAAAAAATAATTTTCTTTTTTTTTCTTCCAGAAATTGAGCAAAAGTCAGTTGGATTTTCTGGTGGCCATGGTAGCGACGGCAACTATAGAAGGGTGCACATTATGCCATACGAGAGACAACAAGCTCACCCTACAATGTCGTACACAACAACAGCGATGCCCACAACACGTGGTACACTGCCGATCACGTACAGACCATGTAAGTAATGTAATGTAATTTGCATAATAATCATAGTGTAAGCGTAACGCCGTTCACACGTGAATGAATCACACGGTGATAAGCATAAAACGGTTGATATACATGTGTTCTCTCAATCACGTTCAAATGAACGATATTCACGTTAAACAAAAAGTTGCACTATCCTCTTATTGGTTATACAGCAGGTTGAAATAATCTTGGAAAAAAATTGATAACTGTATGGATGATTTTGTGAATAAACAACATTATTTTGTTTGGATAAAGAGACAAAATAAAAAATGCGCGATTTATATATAAAGTGTAATACGGAGACGTAAATGTCGTCGGGCGTGAATAAAATGTTCTTAAAGGGCGGTGGTCGTCACGCCACGCATGCGCGAGATATGGGTCTCATATAAACAAAGATGGCGATTTTGACAGTTGTGCATAACAAGTACATACTGTGAGGTCACCAAGCTTTAATTTGATTTAACTTGATAATTTTTAGTGATTAGAAGGTATTGAAGGAGTCGCCGGGGGTAATTAGTGCAAGTGAGGCCCACAGGACAAAATTCGTTTTCGTGATTTCATTAGAAAAGCGCACTGGATTATGGGAAAATCAATGTTTATCGACAACAATTTCGCACATGCGCGGCGCGACGACTACCGCCCTTCAAACATAACAAATTTACAAGACTATGACCTCCTTTTTTAACGTGTTTTTTTTTTTAATTTTTACAGCTGTCGCTTCCACCGGTACTTGCTTCACATTCGGACAGACCCATTACAGCACATTTGACGGCAAACTCTACAGTTTCAAGTGTCCCTGTAGCTACAAACTTGTGGCGGACTGCGTGGCAAACACATTCAACGTGTACCTGAGCAATGACCCGGACTGCGACGGCACATATGTGTGTCGGCGATCGCTCTTACTCGACAACGGGAACGCGGCAGACAACATTCTACTCGTTCAGACGGAAAACGGACCCAGCGCTGTCGCCGACGACGAGTTGTTGACGATACCTGCTTACATTAACGGCGCCCTCATCGAACAAGTGGGTGGCTACATTGTTGTGAAAAGCGGAGCCGGTTACCGTCTTCGTTGGGACGGTGACGAGTACGTCGATGTCGTCATCACTAGTAGCTCAATGTTTGGTAAGACGTGCGGACTGTGTGGTATCTATAACGACGATCCCGCCGATGACTGGACAACTTCAACGGGCGTTCTTTCTGACAGTGTTTACACGTTTGCCAAGTCATGGGAAGTCGTCGATAACAACGGTAAGACAATGAAGCTATTTTTGTTGACATAATAAAGAATCGAAAAAACAATAATAATAACACAATAATTAGTCAGCTAATGTGAGAGTTATAGCCATCTTATTACAAACATCAAAGTTCACAGTTTAGGCACACTACAATTTCAAATACTAGTAACTATTCTTTATCACTTGTCGAAAAATAAGAGTACAAGACGGAAATGACCGACGAGATCTCGCTCAGAGCGAGAGAAGCACGAGCAAATAGTGTTTCATTCTCTTCTACCATCACATCCACTGTCCCACTGATATTTGAAAAAGTTGACGGCAATATATGAGGCATACTCTTGAAAGTATAGTTAAACTCTTAGTTGTTCGTATCGCTTTGTAAATAAGGAAAAAAAACATGACTGACCCCACTCAACGCCATTTTATTTCCACCATAGATAAATTAGTGGCAGACCCCCTCGCTTCCTATATCGCTCCACAGGGCTAGTCTTGGTAATAATATGTCATATGTTTTAGGTCAATGCGTCGAGGGTATACGGGACCCAGCTACATTGTGCACTGAGCAAGCCAGGCAGGTGCGGTCTATGGGTGTCTGCGATACCCTGTTATATCCGCCATTCGATGCGTGCCACCAGGTAAGTTACTTATATCGCAGAATTACATTACGCAGGTACAGAGTATGCAAATGTGATCTCTCGAAATACACCAATCAATACGTCGCATTTCTATTGACGTAACTCTTCTGTTCAAATCGACACCTGTCCAGTTATGTAGTCATTCATCATCTAGAAAATTAGTAAACACTTTCAATCAATAACATTATCCATTGATGGACGACTTCAGATCAAACACTATTGTTTTAAATGGCTTTCGTGTCCCCCATTTTCATCGTGGATTCACCTTGTCGGAAATATGCCGTGTAATATGGGACGGAACAGGATTTGATTTGATGATTGCCTATGTAAGGTGATTGTATGTCACACTCTTATGAATTGAGTTTATAAACTTAAAAAATCCTACGAGATATGTAGTTAATTTGGAAATTGTTAATACTGTTTTTTTAATTTTATCAGCACGTCGATGTTGTTGATTACCTCGAAGCCTGTGAAACTGATGTTTGTCTGTCGGCAGAATGGAGAGACGACGCAGCATGTAACGCTATATCTGCGTATTCCAGAACATGCGCCAGGGTTGGAGTGCCAATCAATGGCTGGCGATCACCAGGTTTCTGCTGTAAGTACTTGATTTGAGTTATGTATCTTGCGATTTGCATTAGAATATAAACACACTCGCAGTAGCTTATCAGCGTAGTGTTTTGTATGTCAGTCTGAATCTTGTAATTGTGTTGTATTATTGTTTATGATAGCAAATGTATGCATCTGGGTTTATCTTTTTTGTTTGTGTTTTTTGTATTTATAATAAACTCCTCTTTTACTTGATTTGTTATTAGACATTAACTGTACAGCCGGCATGGTTTATGACGACTGTGGTTCAATGTGTCCCAAGACATGCAGTAGAAAAGAATATATATGTGAATATGGTCACTGCGTGGACGGGTGTCACTGCCCAGATAATACATACTTGCAGAATGGCGAGTGTGTGGAAGAATTCGAGTGTGAATGTAGCTACCATGGACAGAATTACGCCCCTGGTACGTGGATATCCCAGGATTGCAATGAATGGTAAGTGTGAGCAACACAAAAATCACGCATAATAATTATATATACACGTTTTGAGTTGTTTACTTAAAAGCGTTGGTATACTGCATAGAATTTTAGCATGATGATTTGCTTCACGGTGCATACGATTCACACCAGTGAGCATATTATGTATCAAAATATGCATGATAACGATCAGTGTGTAGAATTTTCATCACAGTGTCTGCGATTCGCATTACAGTGTGCCTGATTTGTATCACTATGTGCTTGATTCGCACGAATTTTCCTTGCACTGTTATACATGTACTAGTATTCTTTTACAGTCAATGCATCAACGGGAGATGGGAAAACTGCACTCAAAACCAATGTGAAGGTAGGATATATGTATTTTGTTTCCGATTAGAGACGTGGGAACAATGTTTGATGACTATTATTCGTTTGATTACCTACTGTGTCTGTCGTCGTACGATATAGAAATAACTACTATTTACGTAAATTCAAGGGAATGTACATTTCAACTGTGATAAAACAACGCCCTCTATCAACGACTGTAAAAACACGCAAGTGACATTATCTTTTCTAAAATACAGCTAAGTGTTCAGCCACCGGTGACCCTCACTACACCACATTCGACGGAACGATGTACGACTTCAGTGGCGACTGTCACTACTCGATGGCACAGAATTGCTTCGTGGAAGACCACGAGTACAAGATAAATGTGGAAAACTCAGATTGCAGTGCAAGTGGCGGCGTATGTACACGAGCTGTGCATGTTTATTGGGGGTTTCACCACGTGAAACTAAAACAAAATCACGAAGTGCTTGTAGACGGTAACGATGTCTTCTACTTCCCACATTACCAGCATGGAGTCTTTATTGAACGCGTCACCTCAATTTTCACTAAGGTATGATCATGGAGATCGGGATTTGGTGATTGTGAGCTATTGTTTATCCTGACGAAAAATGTACATAAACTCTTCATTAACATAAATTACCATTAATTCGTGGTATTTTGGCTAACAATCTTTTAATTGTACCAGTGTTCATCTTTCACGACATTTTGTTTTCAACTCATCAACATAAATACGGAAAGGTGCACAATTAACACGACTCTAAAGTTGATTTGAATGACGTATTCAATTGTTACAATCACCACAATTAAATTTCTACAGCTATCACTTCCCAATGGAATTAGGATATTATGGGATGGCGATACACGTGTATACATCACTGTCAGCCCGGATCACCTTTCCAAGACGTGCGGTTTATGCGGTACATTTAATAACGTACAAGCAGATGATTTCTACACTATGGCAGGTGAGAACATGTTATCGTATTAGCATACAGTGAGATTACATTGTGTATATATGCACTACACGTGTTCACGCATCGTTAGAGCCAACACAGCTCTTCCTATTTTATTTTTACATTGTGCTTGACTTAAAAATATTTTACGGAATTTATTTCCCCAAAGTTTCCAATGAACTATGATATTTCCAAAATTGATTTCTAAACACATTCCCCCTCAAACAGGTGATATTGAAATCGGCCCCGAGACGTTCGGTAACAAATGGAAAGCGGACTCCAACTGCATGGATGTGAACACAGACACCACCGTCAAAATGCACCCGTGTGATCTCTACTCTCAGAAAGCCGGTAATGCCCGTGATATCTGTCGACGTCTGAAATACGATCCGGTATTTCAAGGTAAGATACATCTCGTGTTCTCCCAAGGTGCATATATAACTATTGTCCCAAATCACAGGATAGGCTTCATATTAACTGTCAGGGCAGGAGGGGAAAGGCACGATCTGTTATTCCGTTATATATATATATATACATATATTGTCTGTGTCTTCTTTTCTCTAGTTTGTCACGAAGTGGTCAACCCAGACTCATTCTATGACAGCTGCTTGTATGACTACTGCAAATGCTCGGATGTCGAAGGGAATTGTCATTGCACGATTATGGCCGACTATGCGCATAAGTGTGCCGATAGAGGAGTTGTTATTGATTGGAGACAGCACACCCCAGGATGTGGTGAGAAAACAGTTAATATATCAGAATTAAAGTTTACTGTGACACTCTTTGACGGCTACATCAGTGTACTCAGTGACTGGCTGCTTCAATATTGAAGGTCAGAGTATATTATTATAATAGACCACTTTCAGATGATCCAATGCTGGCCTATCATATGCGTGCGATATAGTCGATTTCGTATGCGAAGGGAATTTGTTATATCTCTATCATCCACTTTTCAGCACCAGTGTTGGACATCGACGTGGAGAATTGGTGTTTATTTGACATTGAGTCAATAAATAACAAACTATCGTACATGATTTACACTTCGGCTGAAAACAGGTTTTGGCCTATTGTATTTTGTATTAAGTCATCCGCCAAATTTCGCATGTACATGAAACCATATTTTAAAAAAGTTGTACTTTATTGATTTTATTTGCATATAGAAATACTGTGCAGCCACGGCATGATCTTCCAGCAGTGTGGAAGCTCGTGTGGAACGTCGTGTACTGCTCTGTCTCACGGTCCGGAGGAATGCTACGAAGAGTGTGTCGAAGGTTGCACTTGCCCACCCGGAGAGGTTATGGGTCAGTATGGGTATTGTGTGTCAGTTAGCGAGTGCCCATGCACCTATTCCAATACTCGGTACCCACCGGGCCATCTGATACAGATAGGATGCGGGGAGTGGTAAGTCAATAAATCATACAAATATATACGGTCTTTATATAGGTATAGATAGAAGGAGGTGATGTGATATGATATGTACTTTTAGTGAGACGTGCACCAGGGCCTATTATATGCACGTGCCTCTCACTGATTATTTTGATCACTCTGAGAAATTAGGAAATCAGTTGCTGTGGCAACTCATCATTGAAAACTGGAGCACTGCAATCAATCTACTCAAAATCAGGTTCATGGTGTCAAATCGCCAAATCAAACATAAATGTCCTTGTTGTAATCACTTAATTTCATTTGTGCATATTTATGTTTGCATGGCTTCTTTTATTTTTAGGATATCCATCAAAATTCGATTTCAGGATTATGTTGGATCAGATAACTCACGAATTGCACAAAACCCAAGGCTCGTATGATGGTTTTATGCAGATCATGAAAAGTGGGAATGCAAGTTTGAAATAGATCCGATCTAAATCTAAACACTTCTTCTAACCAACATGCGCAGTGTCACCCCGTGAACAAAACTAGAACATGTATTTATCTTATAGGGTATATTTGCGAGTTTCTGGTGCACGTGATATTTTGTTCCAATTAGGCTCTTTCCAAATGTACACCCAGAAACAGAAAATCGTGAGTTTACTTGCCTGATAGATATTTAGGCTATTATTATAATGATAAAAAACGAATATTAACTATCTATGACGGGCATGATGGCGGATTTGATAACATACTCAGACAGCAATATCGCAGTGATACTAAAACAACCGCAAACGGTCTATTGGAACGACATGATAAGACTAATGACCCGCTAGCAATCTCACAATAACTGATAACAATGAGTTTTCTAACGTTCACCCCGTAGCATGTGCATCAACGGAGACTGGCAGTGCAGCGAATGCTCTGAGCAACAAAGCTGCGGAACAAACGAAGTGCACACAAGCTGCGCATCTACCTGTCCGCGCACTTGTGCTAACAACTACAACTATGTACAGTGCGAGGAAGACATCTGTGAGCCCGGGTGTGAGTGTCGACCAGGGTATGTGTGGTCCTCGGAGGGTTGTGTATTACCAGAAGAGTGTCCATGTCTACACGGAGGCCGCGAATATCCAATTGGAGGGAACATCAAAATCGATTGCAATATATGGTGAGAGAATTCTCTTTTTTAAATTATACAACTTAAATCATTTACGTGTATATTTCTAAAAGCAATACAACACGTTAGTTCGCTGTCACCAGTTTAATCTACTCGGATTAAGTTCCATGGATCGCATACTAGTAATAGGTATTATTTTAAATTTGAACGTCACTTTGCTTATATTTTTCAGTAACTGCTCTGGTAATAATCAGTGGGTATGTGCTAACGAAGAATGTGCAGGTAAATACATAAAAAAGCACGGCGTGGCGTGGCGTGGCGTGACGTGGCGTGGCGTGGCGTGGCGTGGCGTGGCGTGGCATGGCATAGCATGGCATTGGAGTTTTCATGAACGTTTTTAAGGGATAAGAATTGAAACAAGTACAATTCGATAAGAGTTTATTAATCATTAACAGCCATCACACGGTTAACAATTTTTCATGATTTTCATCGCAATTGTTTTATATTTTAGAAGTGGCCTTGATTGCCGTGGTAACATATTTTTGGAAAAATTCTTCACCTTTGTCAATTAGGATTAAATTGACTCAATATCTAATTCGTTGAGTGAATTAACTGTTAAAGATTCAATTTGATCTTTCTTTTCGCGTAGAAACTGGAATTTTATGTCTATATAATAAATGTGTTTTGTCATAAGAAACAAATGCCATACATGTTGTAATCCAATAAGGTAGAGATATTCGTAAGGTTGCTTTGCGGCTGTGGCGGTGTTCTGGAGTGCCTTCTAGTTATGATCTGTGATTAGGCAGTAACCTTTTTGAGATATCATTGATTTTCTATAATAAAAATGTGAACCATTCTACGTCCTGTTTACTTCAGAACATTTCGTACCTAGAGGGCGTGATTTGTAGAGAAGTCATCAACAATGTTTCCGTAATATGTTAATACAATCTTACCCACCAGGTGTCGCTACGTTGTACGGCGATCCACATTATATCACGTTTGACGGCAAGACGTACGACTTTCAAGGCGCGTGCTCGTACATTGTTACCAGAAGCACGGCGTCCAACGTCTATGAATTCAGCGTTGCTTCAGAAAACGTACAGTGCGGTACAAGTGGGGTTACGTGCTCGAAAACCGTTACCATGACAATAGGTAAGAATCAACACCGTATTATGTGTACAAAACATTCTATAAGCCGATATGACGTATTTGTTCACTTTGTTGTTAAATCTTCGCCGTCGTCGCGTTTTCAAGTAAACAATTATACACGCGTTTAATAGATCGCAGGGAACCATTTTCCAACACGACGCAAAGCACCCGACTGTGGGGTTTTCAAAAATTGTCGTTTTTTTTTTCTCTCAGGAAGTGGAAAGAATCAACATAGGCTGACTCTGACACGAGGAAAACCGCCTGAAATAACTTACGGAGAAAGCGCATTTAACAGGATGACCGTCACAGAAGTCGGCTTATATGTGTTTGTCCATACACGAATAGGAGTCACTCTGCAGTGGGACAATGGGACGACGCTCTATGTAAAACTGGACCCAATCCACAAAGGACGAGTATGTATCTATCGTAATCAGGATATCATACCTATTCGGTGGGACTGATATTATGTCTTGGTTTGAAGCAGAGATGTTTATATTACTTCCGTACACTCATGTATATATATAGCATTTTCATTTATTGAACGATCGACGGAGCTTTTGGCGGAACCGGTCGTGTATTTTTTTATATCGCTAACAATGAATCCGGTTCACTAATTCAGTCCCAGTCAGGCAGCTACAAAAGTAGCGATATTTGGATAATTTTAAAATCAAGATATAGTTTAGTTCGACTATATATTAAACATGTACATGTACTAGTTAATTGATTTAATTATTTAATCAATTATTTGAGTAATCGATCAATTAATATACTAATTCTAAGAATGTTATACTTGGAATTGAGATGAATTGGAATTTATTTGAATAACCTGATATTGTTAATTGTACTGGCAGGTTGAGGGCATGGCTGGTAACTACAATGACAACCAGAACGACGACACCATACCACCATCAGGGGGCTTCGCTTTGGAGAAACCCGACGAATTCGGAAACAGTTGGAAAACGTATGACTACTGTCCGGATGCGCCGGTCATAGAAGATACCTGCGCCCTGCACCCGGAGAGACAGACGTGGTCTCGAAAACAGTGCAGCATATTGAAATCGGAAGTATTCCAACCCTGCCACGCCAGTGTACCTTACGAACCATGGCTAAAAAGGTGTGAGTTTGACGCCTGTGGATGCGATATGGGTGGCGACTGCGAATGTCTGTGTACGGCTATTGCAGCCTATGGTCAAGAGTGCAACAAACATGGAGTGCCGATAAGATGGCGAACACAAGACCTATGTCGTGAGTATTCAAACCGTGATCATCGAAATCTGTTATATGGAAAAGATACAAGAAACTGTGGCATTTACTTTGATACCATGTTGCCTGTAACCCATTTACTAATTCACTCAATTGGTGTCAGCGATTCTAAAATACACGTGACTTACTCTTTGTTCTATTGAAATTGTTACTTAAGTCAATAAAAAAGTCAATGTGTAAATGTTTTGCATATTGGCAAGAACCTACGTTAATTGTTCCCAATATACATAACTATTTATTGCTCAGTAATACACAGATAATTAATATTCTACGACCATTGCTTTCCAGCTTATGTCTAAATCGGGACTATAAGGTTTTATTGTTGAACACACTGTGCTAGTACTGAATAACTGAAAATGTTAATTTAATTATAAAGTTAATCTAATTATGAACTACTAGGATTGCAAGAGAGATGGTGCACCAAACTTGCTGATTTCATTTGTTGTTTACCAGTTTTCTATGCCTCTTCTATGGACAGTAATTAGTCTATGATTATACATTGAAATACTATTATTATAACAATTATATCACAACTGTGTTCTACAGCTATACAGTGCGAAGAATGTCTCATCTACAACCCGTGTTTACCCGTCTGCAAGGCAACATGTGAACACCAGCACCGGCAAGACGATAACGGCGCATGCGTAGATGTGTGTGTCGAAGGTTGCCAGTGCCCCGAGGGAGAAATATGGAACGGAAACGAATGCGTCACCGAGTGTCCACCGCCTGGAACATGCCCACCTGGGTGCCCAACACCCCCAGCATGTCCACCGGGTTGGGAGTTAGACACCGGGGGTAATACTGGCTGCTGTCCGCTGTACAAATGCAAGCCTATCGCACCGACATCCGCACCACCTGTGATAACGACCAGACCTCTGCCGACGTCGGTGACACCGATTGTGACGACGGCGTATACAGAACGACCAACTTCGACTTTGTCCCCATGTATGTATAAACTACTGTTGTATAATTGATATACAATAAAGCAATTAAATTATATATCCTTAATCATTTCTATGTCGAGTTGTTGAGAAAAGTGCTATGCGCTCAGAATAGTTCATTGAGCCGGCGAACATTACGCAATGGCCACTCATAATACAGATAAGAGGTATTGAACACTGTGTTTCTTGCAGCCTGTCCGACATGTCCACCCATTCCAACGTGTCCAGAAGGCCACGAACTCAACTATGGAGGGCGCGATCCTCTTAATTGTTGCGATTTGTTCGTATGTTTGACACCGCCACCAACGACCTCCAGTACTGGGATTACACCAACAACTATACACACAGTATGGACCACCACCACCTCGCCGATGATCACAACATCAGCATATCTTCCGACAAGTATGATTTTATATTACAATCTCATCGATCCAAATTTCCTTATAACCAAATATATAACTATTTTATTTTACAAACACACTGATACGTACATTTTGAGTAAAATCAAAACTGTCTGCGTTGTTGGGAAACGGAACATTATTGTTCACATTTGATATCGCCATTGAAATTAAAGATTTGTAGATTTCAGTACTTTAATGTTATGTAAAATATCCTAGCTAATTTAGATCGACTGTTCTATTCATCCATGTCTTAAAAACCTTATGGGCTAATCACAATCGTTGTGATATTAAGAAAGTGATATTTTGAAGTCGAACCATCTGTAATGTGTGCACTCATTTCACTAGCATGTCCACCGTGTACGATTCCTACCTGCCCGCCCGGCTACTACCCATTCCCTTATGACTATGATGGATGCTGCAGTGACTACGAATGCCGAGCGCCAACAACAACACCGTCAACTACTCTCCAGCCGACTACTGGACAACGTAAGTTAGTTATAGTGCACTTATAATAGTCTATAGCCACCCGCAAGGTAAACAGAGAGGATTTTAGACAGCAAGGCACTACAACCTGAGTGGCATTATAGACGAAACGCATTTCTACTACTGTACATGCATTATGTTTTCGATGGTTTTAATTTCACTATTTTCCCAAATAAGTAAAACACGCTAAATTAAATGCATGTCAAAATGTAAAGTAGAATTTTAACTTAAAGACTATTAAAATTGCTGAAGGCATCAGTGACATTAAACGCCAGTGAAATATAAATGGTTTTATAACTTTCTTTCTTGGAAAATGTGTAATAATCCCTTGTTACAAATCGCATTAAATTTATTACAAAAACACAATAATCCAGTGTAATCATATAACCTAGTAAACAGGTCAATGTTTTAATCAGGATTGGTTCAAAGTTTAAGGGATACAATTAGTGGATCACTAATATTTGCCTTCTAATTACACAAGCATGAAAGCATGACAGAGGAAATATGTGTTGATGTATACACACCCATTGCATTTCTTATCACTCTCATAGCCTCATGCCCACCTACATGTCCTCCGATGCCCACGTGTCCAGAAGGAGAAGAATTGACATACTACAATGACGGATGTTGTAACTACTCAGCCGGGTGCTGGCCTATTTCGACCACTCCTCCAGGTGAGAGCTATTTCTCCTGGTATCCTTTGTTGCAGAGAGATGTTTAAAAATGGGAGAAGTCTGCTTCGTTACGCCATATTATTCCCTGCATTCAATACATAAATAAATCCAGCCGATGTTCTAATGTATACTATGACGTTTGCATATATGAAACACGTGTGTATTGTGGTAGTTTTTTTACAGTTTACCATACGTAATAGTTGATAATATCTCACACATGTAAAGCAGTTGCCAAGCCAACATTCATTTTTTTTACACATTTTTTTTTCTTAAAATTCTAACCTAGCTCTTCACCAGTAATACCGACTTTATTCCTAAATCCACTTGAATATATCAAATTTGCTCTACATTTTAAACGTTTTCTCAACTTCTCTCCAAGGCTGTGTATGTGAAACGAGTCCTCCATGTCCGACCGGTGCTGCGACAGTGACCAGTGGATACGACGAGTGTGGCTGTCCAATTTACGAGTGCTTACTAGAAGGTGAGTGACAATGAAACTAAGACGACCATTGTTACCTTTTATATCTATATAATAGCATGTACAAGTCACTTAATAAATACAAGAAACAGCTAATTTTAACGTAGCCAGTGAATATTGTTCGTATTCCTGATGTAACACTACTTGAACATCAAAGGCACATAACAACATTCTTCCTTTATGTAGTCACAAATTAGTGAAGATTCAAAACCCGAAATGCCAGCAAAACTGGCGCCACCAGTTGGGTCTAGTAACATCATTCTATGTCTACAACGAACACACGACAATATTGCAAGGTCTAATGTAAACAAAATTGTTTGTATGACAGGTACATGTGACGTATATGTTTTCAGCAATTAATCTAATTCATTGGTTCCATTTGATTTGTTTTGTTTTAATTAATTAGAAACCCCAGGAACTACATCGCTACCAATAATCACGTTACCCACAAAACCTGTGGTAACAACCACTGGGCCACCAACAACTACAGGACCACCAACAACTGCTAGACAACCAATAACTACTGGGCCAACAACTACTGGCGCACCAAGTACGACTGGTCCAGCAACTACTGGGTCAACAACTACTGTAGCACCAAGTACGACTGGACCAACAACTACTGGCGCACCAAGTACGACTGGACCAACAACTACTGGAGCAGCAAGTACGACTGGACCAACAACTACTGTGCCAGCAACAACTACTGGGGCAGCAACAACGACTGGAACAACAACTACTGGAGCACCAAGTACGACTGGGCCACTAACAAGTGCTAGATCAACTACTGGGCCTCCACTAACAAGTGTATCTGAAACATCTGGAGTGACAACAACAGGACCCCCACTCACAAGCACGACTTCAGGTGGACCGGTATGCCCCCCTTGTCCATCAGAACCAGAGTGTCCTCCTGGGCAAGAACCTGTTATTATTGGAGAAGGTCCTTGCTGTACTATATGGGATGGATGTAGAGGTAAGTAGACACAATGTAATACAATCTATGTATGAGTAAATGATCTATGTCTGATATGAAATATTAATGTTATTATAATGATTCTCATGAATATTTGTACTCGTACTAATGCGATGTGCAATGATTTTCAATCCCACTTCTCTCCAGAAACAACACTTCCACCAACAACGACAGGACCAGCAACGACTGGGGCACCAAGTACAACTGGACCAACAACTACTGGAGCACCAAGTACGACTGGACCAGCAACTAGTGGGCCAACAGCAACTACTGGGCCCACAACTACTGGCGCACCAAGTACGACTGGACCAACAATTACTGGAGCACCAAGTACGACTGGGCCACTAACAAGTGCTAGATCAACTACTGGACCTCCACTAACAAGTGTATCTGAAACACCTGGAGTGACAACAGGACCCCCACTCACAAGCACGACTTCAGGTGGACCAGTATGCCCCCCTTGTCCATCAGAACCAGAGTGTCCTCCTGGGCAAGAACCCGTTATTATTGGCGAAGGTCCTTGCTGTACTATATGGGATGGATGTAGAGGTAAGTACACACAATGTAATAATGGATGTATGAGTAAATGATCTATGTCTGATATGAAATATTAATGTTATTATAATGATTCTCATGCATATTTATACACATACTAATGCGATGTGCAATGATTTTCAATTACAATTCTCTCCAGAAACAACACTTCCACCAACAACTTCAGGGCCAACAATGACTGGGCCACTGACAACTGGACCACCACTGTCCACTGGTTCAACAACTACTGGACCACAAACAAGTACTGGAACACCAAGTACAACTGGACCACCATTATCTACCGGGCCAACAACTACTGGAGCACCAAGTACGACTGAAGCAACAACTAGTGGGCCAACAGCAACTACTGGGCCCACAACTACTGGCACACAAAGTACGACTGGGCCAACAACTACTGGCGCACCAAGTACGACTGGTTCAACAACTACTGGGTCAACAACTACTGTAGCACCAAGTACGACTGGACCAACAACTACTGGCGCACCAAGTACGAGTGGACCAACAACTACTGGAGCAGCAAGTACGATTGGACCAACAACTACTGTGCCAGCAACAACTACTGGGGCAGCAACAACGACTGGACCAACAACTACTGGAGCACCAAGTACGACTGAACCAATAACTACTGGAGCAGCAAGTACGACAGGACCAACAACTACTGTGACAGCAACAACTACTGGGCCAGCAACAACTACTAGACCTACAACTACCGAAGCACCAAGTACGACTGGGCCACTAACAAGTGCTAGATCAACTACTGGGCCTCCACTAACAAGTGTGTCTGAAACACCTGGAGTGACAACAGGACCCCCACTCACAAGCACGACTTCAGGTGGACCAGTATGTCCACCTTGTCCATCAGAACCAGAGTGTCCTCCTGGGCAAGAACCTGTTATTATTGGCGAAGGTCCTTGCTGTACTATATGGGATGGATGTAAAGGTAAGTACACACAATGTAATAACATTTATGTATGAGTAAATGATCTATGTCTGATAATAAATATTAATGTCATTATAATGATTCTCATGCTTATTTATACTCGTACTAATGAGACATGTTCAATAATTTATAATCACACTTCTCTCCAGAAACAACAACTACCGGGCCTGCAACAACTGGGCCACTGACAACTGGACCATCACAGTCCACTGGTTCAACAACTACTGGAGCACCAAGTACGACTGGACCAACAACTACTGGCGCACCAAGTACAACTGGGCCAACAACTACTGGAGCAGCAAGTACGACTGGGCCAACAACTACTGGAGCAACAAGTACAACTGGACTACGAACAACTACTGGGCCAACAACAACTGGAGCACCAATACCTTCTGGGCCAACAACTACTGGACCAGCAACTACTGGAGCTCCAAGTACAACTGAATCAACAACTATTGGAGCACCAGGTACAACAGTATCAACAACTACTGGAACACCAAGTACGACAGAACCAATAACTTCTGGGCCAACAACTACTGGACCAGCAGCTACTGGAGCTCCAAGTACGCCTGAATCAACAACCACTGGAACACCAAGTACGACTGGACCAACAATTACTGGGCCAGCAACAACTACTGGACCAACAATCACTGAAGCACCAAGTACGAATGGACCAACGACTATTGGACCATCAATTACTGGAGCACAAAGTACGACTGGACCAACAACTACTGGAGCAGCAAGTACGACTGGACCAACAACTACTGGAGCACCAGGTACGACTGGATCAACAACTACTGGGCCATCAACTACTGAAGCACCAATAACTTCTGGGCCAACAACTACTGGAGCAGCAACTACTGGAGCACCAGGTACAACTGGATCAACAACTACTGGGCCATCAACTACTGGAGCACCAATAACTTCTGGACCAACAACTACTGGAGCAGCAATTACAACTGGACCAACAACTACTGGAGCACCAGGTACGACTGGATCAACAACTACTGGGCCATCAACTACTGAAGCACCAATAACTTCTGGGCCAACAACTACTGGAGCAGCAACTACTGGAGCACCAGGTACGACTGGATCAACAACTACTGGGCCATCAACTTCTGGACCAACAACTACTGGACCAGCAACTACTGGAGCACAAAGTACGACAGGACCAACAACTACAGGAGCAGCAAGTACGACTGGTCCAACAACTACTGGAGCACCAGGTACGACTGGATCAACAACTACTGGGCCATCAACTACTGGTGCACCAATAACTTCTGGGCCAACAACTACTGGACCAACAACTACTGGAGCACCAAGTACGACAGAACCAACAACTACTGGGCCATCAACTACTGGAGCACTTAGTACGACTGGACCAACAACTACAGGAGCAGCAAGTACGACTGGACCAACAACTACTGGAGCACCAGGTACGACTGGATCAACAACTACTGGGCCATCAACTACTGAAGCACCAATAACTTCTGTGCCAACAACTACTGGACCAGCAACTACTGGAGAACCAAGTACGACAGAACCAACAACTACTGGGCCATCAACTACTGGAGCACCAAGTACGAGTGGACCAACAATTACTGGAGCACCAAGTACGACTGGACCATCAACTCCTGGAGCACCAGGTACGACTGGATCAACAACTACTGGGCCATCAACTACTGGAGCACCAAGTACGACTGGACAAACCACCACTGGAGCACCAAGTACGACTGGAACAGCAATTACTGGAGCACCAAGTACGACTGAATCAACAACTACTGGGGCACCAGGTACGACACTATCAACCACTACTGGGTTATCAACTACTGGAGCACCAATAACTTCTGGGCCAACAACTACTGGACCAGCAACTACGGGAGCACCAAGTACGACTGGACCAACAACTACTGGACCAACAACTACTGGAGCACCAATAACTTCTGGACCAACAACTACTGGACCAGCAACTACTGGAGCAGCAAGTACGACTGAATCAACAACTACTGGAGCACCAGGTACGACTGGATCAACAACTACTGGGCCATCAACTACTTGGGCACCAAGTACGACTGAATCAACTACTACTGAAGCACCAGGCACAACTGGATCAACAACTACTGGGCCATCAACTACTGGAGCACCAGTAACTTCTGGGCCAACAACTACTGGAGCAGCAACTACTGGAGCACCAGGTACGACTGGATCAACAACTACTGGGCCATCAACTACTGGAGCACCAATAACTTCTGGACCAACAACTACTGGACCAGCAACTACTGGAGCAGCAAGTACGACTGGACCAACAACTACTGGAGCACCAGGTACTACTGGGTCAACAACTACTGGGCCATCAACTACTGGAGTACCAATAACTTCTGGGCCAACTATTAGACCAGCAACTACTGGAGCACCAAGTACGACAGAACCAACAACTACTGGGGCACCAGGTACGACTGGATCAACAACTACTGGGCCATCAACTGCTGGAGCACCAAGTACGACTGGACAAACCACCACTGGAGCACCAAGTACGACTGGAACAGCAATTACTGGAGCACCAAGTACGACTGAATCAACAACTACTGGGGCACCAGGTACGACATTATCAACCACTACTGGACCAGCAACTACGGGAGCACCAAGTACGACTGGATCAACAACTACTGGACCAACAACTACTGGAGCTCCAAGTACGACTGAATCAACAACTACTGGAGCACCAGGTACGACTGGGTCAACAACTGCTGGGCCATCAACTACTGGAGCACCAAGTACGACTGAATCAACAACTACTGGACCATCAACTACTGGAGCACCAAGTACGACTGAATCAACAACTACTGGACCAACAACTACTGGAGCTCCAAGTACGACTGAA